GAATGCGGTGTGTGTTAGTGTAGTGAATGCGGTGTGTGTTAGTGTAATGAATGCAGAGTGTGTGTCAGTGTAGTGGATGCAGTGTGTGTGTCAGTGTAGTGGATGCAGAGTGTGTGTCAGTGCAGTGAATACAGAGTGTGTGTTAGTGCAGTGAATACAGAGTGTGTGTTAGTGTAATGAATGCAGTGTATGTGTGTTAGTGTAGTGAATGCAGTGTGTGTGTTAGTGTAGTGGATGCAGTGTGTGTATTAGTGTAGTGAATGCAGTGTGTGTGTGTATAGTAGTGTATGCATGTAATGTAATAACTGTTATTCCCCCCTCCCTGTTTCTTACCTGGTCCAGGGAGGGGGGAAGATTCTTTGATCCCTGGTTGTCCGGTGGCATGGTGGGGCCCGCCGGCTCCCTATACTTGCAGAGGGGGCCCAGCGGACTGCATCTGTACTTTACAGCATTTCCCTGTCTCTAACTCCCGCGGGATTTAGAGAGAGGGAAATGCTGTAAAGTACAGATGCAGTCCGCTGGGCCCCCTCTGCAAGTATAGGGAGCCAGGGGGCCCCGCGACTGAACCTATATATAGCGATCAACACTATATATAGGTGCAGAGAGTAATTGTGGGGCCCTGAACTGCCAAAGCAGTCCGGGCCCCCCAGGACCGCCGGGAACGTGACAACCGTTATGGTTGTCACTCCCTGATGGCAACCCTGCAGACCCTCACTCACTGATCTATGCAAACACACACACTGACCCATGCAGACACACACTCACTAAACCAAGAAGACACTGACTTGATAATCCATGGAGACACACATGCTCTGACCCATGCAAACATACACACTAAGCGGTTATCCGGTCTTTGTGAGTGCTAGGACCCCGGTCTTAGCGGGTGATTGGCTACTGACTAAGCTCCAGCCAACTGGCCATCGGTCTTGGTGGGTGCCATACGGCTGATCTGTGGCACTGAATTGCTGGTCCCTAGTCTTGGTTGGCGAGACTGGTTGGCCTCAGTGGGTTTTAGTGGCTGTCCACTGGGTAGGCGAGCAGCTGGCCCCTAGGCATGGGCAGGTGGGCAGCTGACCACTTTGGCTGGGCAGATAGGCAGGCGGTGGGCAGGCTGCTGCTGGTTGCTGGACTTCCATTGGCCTAGAGAGGCTGCTGTTGGCTGGGCAAGCTGGTGGTTGACTAACTAAGCTCCTGGAGAGTGAGAAGGGTAGGGCAGGACAGGGCTGTGCAGTTGCTCTTGGCTGCATTGACTGGGTCACTTGTCTTCTCCCTGGTGGTTGTCTCTTGTGGTCCCCTCTGCTCCCCTTACATACATGGATAAGGAGGAGGTCACATGGGTTTATAACTTATGACAGCAATGTCATGTAGTCCTGCCCATTGTCCTCCAATTGGCCCAGACTCTTAAAGCTTGAAGCTTGTTAAGCTTTGCCACTGCGCCCCAAGTCAGCAGCCCTCTAAGAAGAAGAACAAGTATTTTCCATTTCGTGCATTCTTATCACTGGCACTGCCATCCCCACCAACTGCCATGAGGCAGAGGATGACCGGCATTTGGAACCTATTTTCCTCCCTTGTATATTCTCCGACAGCGAAAAAGCCCTGCTGGAGGCCAGATAAACTACACGAGGCAAGATAAAATGCTGGTGCCCAGGTGTGGAGGCTCCGGGATACTACACTACTGTACCCCTGGCGTTTAAATAGGATAGTCGATAAGGGAGATCTTTGATCTCCCAAATGGCCGTGTCGATCAAAGGCCATGGCCTCGGAAGCCTTATGGGAAATCATCAGCCTCAGGGCCAGATTTCCCATAAGCTTATAAAGGCCATGGCTCGTGGTATCAGACAGGAGAAGGGTGGCGCTGCTAGAACCCTGGATCATTGGTTGTGATTAGATTTTTCCTTTTCACCTGACACCCGCAGCAGGTCCTCTCTTCATAGCAGGCAGCCAAACAAACTACAGTGCATGAAGATGACGTCAGTACCATAACCCCCTGTGGCCTCCTGTACCACCAGCTGCCTGCCGTTGCTGATGAAGCCACATTAGTATTAGAAGAGAGACACAGAAGGAGTTAAGAGAAGAATTTAACCAGTGGAAAAAAGGATAACAAGCAAGCGAAGGGGAAATGGGACAGAAGAGGAGAACAAGTGATTGAAAGGGGAGTTTAGAGGGGAACAGGTGATGGATAGGGGGAGAAAAGGAGAACAATTGTGTGAGGCAGGGGGACAGAAAAGTAGAGCAGGTGCTTTAAGAAGGAGTTATGAGGGGTACAAGTGAAGGATGGGGAAAAAGAACAGGGGCAAAATTGGAGAAAGGAAGAGAGGAACATGTGAGGGAGAGATAAATGGGGGCAGATGGGAATTGCTTGCTCATTGAGGAAACTGGCCTTGGGGCAGCAGAGAGTGCAAAATCCAGCCTTGTGCAGCCCTGAATAGAGATGGTCAACCCAATGGTCAGTTAGCCTGGTGTGCATTCATATCAGGCAGACATGTCTCTTTTTTAGTGCGGGCCCCCATCCTTTTTAGGTGCATTCTTACTTTTGTTTTTTGTTGGTTTGTTTTTTTTGTAAATATTGCGTAATTATTTGCTCATCAGTCCTTGGCACATCTCCCTTCCTTTCAGACCTCCTCTGAAAGCTGACAACTCCTACCATCTCCACCTACAATATGGAATGAATTGATGGCAAACAGAGAATGTGAGGAAAATAAGATATCTGATTTAAATACCCCAAGTAGAGAGATATCTGTACCAGACATACTGTGATCTATTATAAATAAAGATATTATAAATACAAGATATTATTAAAGGACCTATCCAAGCACCAAAACCACAACCAGTGAGTTGTACCCAGTTGACAACTGGCATTTTTCAAATGTATGTGTATTTTACAACTGCTGTTATATAACTATAAATGTTAAGTGAATGAACCCAGAAAGTCAAACCTTTTGAATTACACAACAAGGACTTACAGCTAAATTAAAGTACTCATAGACCCATTTACAAGGAGCTTTTAAGATAATCCGCACAATTTCTTTAACTTTGTTGTATTTACAGAATGTAACCTTGTTCAAACATGAAGTGTGGGTTAGCAGTACAGATGTTGCCCGATTCCTGGGACCTCTAAACCTTTGCCCAAGGTTTTTACAATATCATCAAGGTATCATACTGAATAAGTAGGTTTTCACTTTTTCTGCAGCTTGTCCTTTATGATCAGAGCTTATAAATTAAGTGTAAATGACTATTGCTATCTGTAATTGTTATTTTGTGCTATTAAAGCCAGGCTTAGCTCAGAGTAGAGTGCATGTGGCTATCTAAGAGGCAGTGACCGGTGCCTGGTGTTCAGTCAGATTTCTGGACCAGAAATCTCGACCCACGTCATGGGTGTAGATGACATTCTAAGATTTCTGGTAAAAAAAAAAAATATTTGTAGACAGCAAGAGAAACATTCTGGTTGTTATTACAATAGTATAACTGAGTGTAACTGAAAATGGTAGACTGATTAAATTACCACTAACAAATATTTTCGTACTCTTCTCCTTAATTCTAGCCTGTATAACTGATATATTTACACATATATTACAATTCTGTGTATCCCACTCTCCTTACAGTTACTGTTAACTGCATCCTACACACCACCCTCAACATTCTAGGCAATTGATGACTGTATTATTATTATTATTATGTACAATGTACAATGGGTGGACTAACAGACACATAATTGAGATCAGACCACTGACGTACAGGAACAGAGGGGGTTGAGGGCCCTGCTCGATGAGCTTACATGCTAGACGGAGTGGGGTATAGTGACACAAAGGATTAAAGTAGGGGAATTAAATAGTTTGTTACAGAAGGGTTTATTGAGTGCTTGGTAGGTCATTTTTGACAGGTGAAGGAACAGAGTCATGGGGTGGGGGATGAGAAACCTGCTGACAGTTTAATTGATACGCTTTAATAAAGAAGTGAGTTTTCAAAGATTTTTTGAAGGAATGGAGGCTGGGTGAAAGTCTGATTGAGGAGGGAAGGGAGTTCCACAGAATAGGTGCAGCCCTGGAGAAGTCGTGAAGGCGAGCATCAGAGGTGGGGATCCGGGCAGAGGATAGGAGTAGATCTTGGGCTGAGCGCAGGGGTCTCGTCGGGACATACTTGTGTATGAGGGAAGATAGGTATGTTGGAGCAGCATTATGTAGGAATTTGTAAGCAAGCGCCAGAATTTTGAATTGGGCCCTATATCTAACTGGAAGCCAATGCAGGGACTGACAGAGCGCGGAGGCGTGGGAGGTGCGACCGGACAGGAAAATAAGCCTCGCAGCCGTATTCATTATAGATTGCAGCGGTGCAAGCTGGGAACATGTAAGACCGCTGAGAAGGGGATTGCAATAGTCAAGGCGAGAGAGAACAACAGCATGAACCAGTACCTTAGCCGCGTCCGGCATTAGATATGAGTGCTATGTTCTTGAGTTGGAAGCGACAGGATTTGGCTATCGATTGAACATGGGGAGTAAAAGAGAGATCAGAATCAAAAAGAACTCCTAGGCAGCGAGCCTGGGAGGTAGAGGTGATAGTAGCGCCGTTGACTTGGATGGCGACAGACACAGGAGTAGCAGCACTTGAGGGAGGAAAAACTAGAAGTTCTGTTTTGGACAGGTTGAGTTTAAGGAAGTGAGCAGCCATCCAGTTGAAAATAGCAGAGAGGCAGTCAGAAACACGAGTCAAGGTGGGCGGAGAGAGATCAGGGGAGGACAGGTAGATTTGCGTGTCATCTGCATATAAATGGTATTGGACGCCAAAAGAGCTGATGAGTTTACCAAGGGAGGCAGTATAGATAGAGAACAGTAGGGGGCCGAGGACAGAACCTTGGGGGACGCCGACAGGGAGGGGTTGGGGAGAAGAGGCAGAGACAGAGAAAGAAACACTGAAGGAGCGCTGGGAGAGGTAGGAGGAGCACCAGGAGAGAGCAGAATCCCGTAGACCAAAGTTACGGAGAATGTGAAGAAGCTGTTGATGATCAACAGTGTCAAAGGCGGCAGAAAGATCAAGGAGGATTAGGATAGAGTATTGGCCGCGAGATTTAGCAGCAATTAAATCGTTGGATACTTTGGTCACAGCAGTTTCGACAGAGTGACCAGCGCGGAATCCAGACTGAAGGGGGTCAAGCAGAGAGTTGGATTCAAGAAAGTCTGTCAATCTGGCGTAGACAACTCTCTCGAGGATCTTGGAGGCAAATGGCAGTAGCGAGATAGGGCGGTAGTTGGATGGGGAGTTGGGATCAAGGTTGGGCTTTTTCAGAATTGGGGTTACGGTTGCATGTTTGAAGGCAGAGGGAAATGTGCCAGAGGAAAGGGAGAGATTGAAAATGTTAGCGAGAGGAAGAGCAAGAGAGGGAGACAAAGTGCGGATGAGATGCGAGGGAATAGGATCGAGGGAGCAGGTGGTGGGGCGGGAGGACAGGAGCAGAGCAGAAACCTCTTGTGCTGTAGCAGGTGCAAATGAGCTTAGGATGGCAGGGGGAGTGGGGTTGGGTGATGTATTGATACTGGTTGGAGAAAGATTAGAGATCTCTTTCCTGATTGTAGAGATCTTCTCAGTGAAATGAGATGCAAAGTTTGTGGCAGACAAGGTGGTGGAGGGGGAGTCACAGGGCGAAGAAGTGCATCAAAAGTGTGAAACAGGTATTTGGGTTGGTGGGACAGTGTGCTTATGAGGGTGTTGAAGTAGCTTACTTTTGCAGAGGAAAGAGCCATGCTGTAGGAGCGCAGCATAAATTTATAGTGGACAAAGTCAGATGCAAAGTGAGACTTTCTCCAGCAGCGTTCAGCAGTTCTGGAACATTTTTGGAGGTAACGGGTCAGCTTGGTGTGCCAGGGTTGTAGTTGGGGGCACTTGCTGCATTTAACTGTAGGAGAGGAGAGAGTGGAGTTGTAGAGTGAGGTTGCAGAGTTAGGGCAGTTGTGATTTGAGATGGGTAAAAGGAGTGTTTGGAGTTTAGTGGAGAAGTGCTGGAGATCGAGAGAGTTGAGGTTTCTGCGAGGTTGGAGAGTGGACGGTGGTGAGATTTTGGTATGGGGTGTGCAGATGTTAAATGTTAGCAGATGGTGGTCAGACAAAGGAAATGGAGCAGTGGCGAGATCAGAGGTAGTACAGAGATTGCCGAAGATGAGGTCAAGAGTGTTTCCTGCAGTGTGAGTTGCTGAGGAAGAAATCTGTGTGAGTCCAAAGGAAGAGGTTACAGAGAGCAGACGAGAGGCATCAGGGCAATTGAGCTTGTTGATAGGGATATTGAAGTCCCCAAGTATGAGAGAGGGAGTGCTAGAGGAAAGAAAGTGGGGTAACCAGGAGGAAAAGTGTTCAATGAATAGTTTAGGGTGACCAGGGGGGCGATAGATGATGGCAATTCTTAAAGGAGTGGGCTTAAAAAGGCGTACAGTGTGAACTTCAAAGGAAGTAAAGGATAGGGCAGGGGCAGGGAGGATAGGTTGAAAGGTACATTGAGGGCAGAGAAGGATGCCGACACCACCTCCTTTACAGTCAAGTCTAGGAGTATGGGAGAACTGTAGACCACCGAAACATAAAGAAGCAGGAGTAGCGGCATCGGATGGAGATAGCCAGGTCTCAGTGAGTGCCAGTATTGTGAGAGAGTTAGAGATGAGGAGGTCATGTATTGCTGTAGATTTGATATTACTACAAATGGAGCGAGCATTCCAGAGTGCACACTGAATTTTGGTAGAGGAGGATAGACTGCAGGGTATTTGGAGGAGGTTTGCATGGTTTCTGGTTATTTTAGTGTGAGCAGATGAGGTGAGCACTGTTCAGGTGTGCTAGAAGTGGTCTTTTAAAACTCAGACTGTGGAAGACAGAGATGATAGGGTCAAAACAGGACTGCAATAAAAGCTATGGAATGGAGATGCACAGAGGAGGTGAGGATTGGTCAAGCAAGACATTCGGGTGGGTATCAATAAAATAAGGGGGGGGGAGAAGAAATAACAGAGAAAATCTTTAGAGATAAGCAGGATGTTGAATAACATTTAAGTTAACAAAACCAATGTTGAGAAGGGCAGGTAGCAACTAGCTTTAGCATGCAGGACAAGACAAACTGCAGAATATATGTGTGTATGAGAAAACACACACACACACACACACACACACACACGTCCAGTTAAGATACAATGACAAAGAAATGGTGGTTAGAGATTATATAGTTTAAAAATATGCAAGGGGTTTAAATTCAATACAATTATAGTGTCCAGTATTAAGGGTAGATAGTTTCCTCCATAGTCTGATCTGCATTAGTGTGGGGTCATGTGTCTATTATACCACAAGGAGGGGTCAGTAACATCTTGAGTGTTTGTTTCCTCTAATAAAGTTAATTTGATTAGGTATTGATGCAACCATTGACAATAGCAGCAATAAAATTAATTCCTTTAAGTAATGCGACCTCTGTGAGGGAATTACTCCACATGACAAGTTTTTTTAAACTTGCCTATCACTAGTAAACCTCTTCAATCCCCACCTAGCTTTGTTTCTCATTCTTCACTGTAACTTTTACAGACTCCAAAGACTCCTATGACCACAACCACTACAATAATCTGAAGTGGTTACAATGCATAGAGTGCATAGGGTGTCATTTTACATGTTTTTAATATTATAGTATAACCTTTTTAAATAAGACATTCCAACACTTAAAATCTCCTTTAATATTCATACGCTGGCAGAGCAACATTCGAAAAAGGCTAGTGCTGCAGACTTAATTCCACATATAGGAATGTAAACACATAGATAAAATGAATTGTGGAGAGACAGGGGAAATTAAATAAGTAGGTGGCATGGTGTGGGGTTCATTTTATTGACTATTGTTGCGTTGGACTGTATTGTGTATAAAGAACCTCTGCTGTCTCCAGAGAGACCTCCACTATCTCATCAGTGAAAATGAAGAACACAATGTCAGAATGACGATACATGTTCCTTTACTGTAAAGTCTGCACTTTGGAAAACACCAAGTCACTATATATTACAATTCAGCAAGATTCTGTTTAGTAATCTTATTTTGTTGCAGCGGGGATGTACCATGTGAGATATAAACATGTCAATGTTACTAGCAATCACTTTGTGAACAATACAACTGGAAGATAAAATGGGACAATTTGATGCAATGTGGTCCCTTGAACGCTGAGCACTGGAAAAAATACTGACCACAGTTACAGTGTGTCTATCATGTGAAGGACATCAAGTCACATGAATTGATGTTTTCTCACTTGACTTGCAGTAGTGAAACCATCAGGACTTATGACAAAGAGGAACTATCCTGGATAGTTTTTTTTTATTTCTTAAATAAAGTTTATTCGTTTACCCTTTGTTTTCTAGTTTCTCAATATGCACTGTTCAGTGATTGTAAAGTATTGCTTTCTTTCTTTAGTCTGTATCTATAGATTTTATACAAAAAAGGACACAAAATAGTGTACAATGATCTACAACATGCTTTTTAGTTTCTGTTTTAAACATACTTATTATGTACAGCAGGGGTCAGCAACCTAAGGCATATGTGCCATGCATAGCACTTGAGGTGCCTTTGCACGACACTCAAGGCTGTCAGAGCCAAAAGGGCTCTGGCCTATCAGGAGTCCAAGGGGACTTCAAACATCTGCTAGGGAAACCCAAGCAGTGATTGAAGGTGGTAAGGGGCAATCCCCTCCCCAATTTACGTATTGCAGCACTTAGAGGAAGTGATCTCAAATTGAAGGTGGTAAGGGGCAATCCCCAATTTACGTATTGCAGCCTTGTGAACGGGAATCCACACTAGAATAGAGCAGCCCACAGCAGCTATCGCAGTTCCTGTCCTTGACCTGTACCTGGTCAGTCTGGTCACTACTGGACCCCTGGGAAGCCACCTACACTGCGCGAGAGGGCTGCAGAAGAAGCTTCTCCCTCATACAAATAACACACACACAGGCTCCACAAAAACAACACCACTGACAATCTACATACACACACAACCCCACAAGCATCCTTTCACATGCAATACTGCAAGCAGCCCCACACACAGACCACCAAACACACAATATGACATATCGTCCACACACAATTCCACAAGTTGCTCTGTCTGTCTGTCTGCCATCTGTGTGTTTGTATGCTTATGACTTCCACAGCCTTTTGTAATAAAATGAGTGTTATTAAGTTGGGTAACGGAGTAGAACCTGTATACACTGTGACATGTGACTTGTATTTATTTTCTTTTTAATGCACTTTCTTATCTAATAAGGACAAGACTCCAGACAAATCTGTTGAAGAGGGAAGCTTTCTCTGTGTTTGAGACAGGAAGTCATTGTCTTTTGAGAGCATTGAATTACACAGCACACAAGTGACAAGTTATGGTTTTGGGACACTATGTCTTTGCACAGGAGTTGCCAGACTGTCACTTTGCAGAAAATTACAGGTTTCATTGTGTAACCCGGTATAAGTACATCTCTCTGTTCATTATACTAGAGACAGACGTTATCAATAGTATGGATTATAACTACGTCAGATAAGGAGACATTACAGTACTCTGAAGCCATGGAGAAAGATCATGAAGTATCAAGTCATCATCTCAACCAATAGGAGACAGACTTGGGGCATGACGAATAGTGTTAAGAGCAATCAGAACTGCCTGTCCTTACACAAAGAAAGTATTACAACTACATAGCTGTCTGTCGTCTGGTGATCGGAGGTGGGTGGCAGTGAAAGTTGAAATTTGTTCACCTGAACCTGCCCTTCACGGGCACTGCCATTTTATTCTGTGCAGTTCTCTTCTACGTATGCATTGAGGTCAATGGAGGATCCTGCAATACAGCTAATATATCGACAGCTGTCACTGGTGATGGCTGGAAGATTTATATTTCTACACGACGATAGCTCCGCCCAGCGTCTAGCGAAGGAAAAATACTGAGATAATACGGAGTATTCCTTACTTTGTCTTAGTATTCAGTGAAATTCCAACAAAGTCAGTATGAGCAAGCTTCAAATGTTACCTTTATTCTACCATGATATAACTTTGCAGACAACCAGGGGAGCAGAATGGGGTGGAGGACCAAAGTGTGTGAAGTTTAGCGCTAAAAAAAGCTATTTGTCAAAGACTAAACTTCTTATCCAACTTTTCTTTCTGTGAGCTTCTTGGTCAGGTGTTGACAGTAACTTTAGGCATCTATTTTATTCCAAAGTACATTTTTTTAAATCTTGCCCAGCT